TGGAGGACCCCAGGCCCAGCCTTTGGAACAAAAACAGTCTAGTTAACACAAAAGTCCTGCCACATGATCAGGAGGTTGGATGTGCATGAAGACAATTCTCCTCCCTCCCATGAAATCTTCTCAAGTATGAGGTGAAGAAAATGGAGCCCACCCAGTGAGGTGTGTATTTAAACACGTGCTGGTAATCCTCTCTCAAGCACAAATGCAAGATGTCATTTGAACATATTTGACCTGAAGAAAATATTCTTTTTCCTTTTTCTTTTTAAATTGCCAAAGGGTGCATGCACTTGCTTGAGACAGAGAGAACAGTCCTCGAAAGTGTATGATCATGCTGCAAATCCTTTCTCCAACCTGTTGAGACTTGGGGTACACATGCACATGGCATGCTTTCCAAGCCACTGTGGCCATGTGGGATCCAACTCCCTTTAACCACTAACCTATGGGTTAGCCCCTCAACAGGATGTTCTAGAACATATATCCTCATGAGAGATGTCCTGGGTAGTCTTTAACTTGGCCCTAAATTTCCTTATCAACTTACTGCCGTGGCTCACCTCCAGCCACTCTGGGCCTTCTACAATTCTGTCTTTGGGGAAAATGCTCGTTTTATTTTGTTTTGCTTTCTCCCCAAATGCCCTCTTTCACCCAAGATTCTAAAAATCCCAAGAGGCCTGCAATGTCCAGGAAGGGGCCTCCCCTCTAAGAGGATGTCCCATTCCTCTAGGAAAAACAAAACATCCCTCCCTGATGGTCACAGCCTTTGCAGGACCGTCTGGCACTGGACGCCCTTGCTCTGTAGCCTGAATATATATATATTCACATTCCCCTAGCTGGCCAGGGACAGGACAAGCTCCAACTCCAGTACCTTCAGGTAGCCACAGTGGGTGGGGTGGGGAAGCACCTTCTAAAGGGAAGGTCCATCAGAATTAACATACAAAGGTAAGATTAGCTACCTGAGAAAGGCCCCATTCTACCTGGCTGTCTGCATGGAGGCCAGAGCACTGTAACATCCAAGGATAACCAGTTTGAACAATGCATGGGCAGAAAGTATGGGCATGATTATGCAGCACTGTAGAGAAAAGGGGTGCAGGCTGGTGTCTATGAGGGCATTTCAAAAGTTATGTGGAAAACTGGAATTAAAGTATAAGTTTATTTTAGCATAAGAAAATTTTGAGATCCCTGTATACCTTTTATCATAATGTGCATTTCCCATAAAATTTGTAGACCTCTCTTATGAGAAAGATCTTCAGATTGTGGGACTCATCACTGGGCTCACTGGCTGGGACTTGAGTTTCTCCATCTATGAGTGCCACTCGGCCTCTGCCCCAGTGTTGGTATCAACAAGTGGCCCAGCCTGCTCTCCTGACACCCAGGATAACCAGCGTGTACATCTTTGGGCTTGCACTCAGGGACCAACTATGTCACTGACATCCAAAATGAGATAGTTTAGGGAAA